AATCTATACGTCGGTATCAAGCATGCCCGTGAGTCTTATATTGTAACTGTTATGACTCCGTTGTGGTTTATTTCGTGCTTCATATGAGGATTATATTATTGTTCCCCAGCCGGAATGTTGTTGTTATATTATTGTTCCCTTGCCGGGATGTTGTTGTTATATTATTGTTCCCTTACCGGGATGTTGTTGTTATATTGTTCCCTTGTCGGGATGTTGTTGTTATATTATTGTTCCCTTGTTGGGATATTGTTGTTATATTATTATTCCCTTGTTGGGATTTTTTTATGATTGGTGTTGATAAATGAAATGGGAGTGGGTTGCACACCTGCAACGGTACTATATGAAATGGGAGCGGGTTGCACGCCTGCAACGGTACTATATGAAATGGGAGCGGGGTGCACCCCTGGAACGGTACTATATGAAATGGGAGCGGGTTGCACGCCTACAACGCTACTATATGAAATGGGCGCGGGTTGCATGCCTGCAACAATATTATATGAAATGGGATCAGGTTGCACGCCTGCAACGGTATTACATGTGTACTTGTTTCTTATTTCCTTATCTTTTGCTGGTATTTGATTTATGGCGTTCCTTACATTTCTCTACTGTTATTCTGTTATTACCTGTTACTCCCCGCAACATGTTTCCCCCGCCCAACTTTAGTTGTAATTATCTGCTTTTATTTTCGATGTATATGATTTAACTGCGTAGGTTTATTTTGTAGTCTGGTCCTAGCCTCATCACTACTTCGCCGAGGTTAGGTTAGGCACTTACTAGCACATGGGGTCGGTTGTGCTGATACTACACTCTGCACTGTGTGCAGATACTGATACCGAAGCATTTGGACCGCAATGAGGGTGATATCTTCAGTCCATTCAGATGACCCGAGGTAGTCCTGTAGACGTACGCGGACTTTGGCGTCTCCTCCTATCTTTCCTCTTTCTATTTTTACTTATTCAGAGACGGACTTGTGTATTTCCTTTCAGACCTTATTTGTAGTATTCTTAGATAGTCCGTGACTTGTGACACCAAATTCTGGGTAGTATTGTACTTCAGATTATGTAGCAGTGTTTGCTTGAACTATCAAGTTTTTTTCGTCTTCCGCATTTCTGGTTATTTAATATGTTCCGTTGTTTAATAACTTATTACTTTGAATTATTGAACATGCTTAATAAAAAGGGTAATGAATTTATAATACTCGGCTTGCCTAGCTTTCACGAGTAGGCGCCATCACGATTCCCGAGGGTGGGAAATCCGGGTCATGACAGACACATTTCTAAATTTAGAAATAATTCAACTTTAAACTCTTTCATTTTACCCATTTACCCTTAATGAGAAGCTTTTATAGCCACACAAATGTCATGGCCCCACAAGCGTTTTACCCCTTAAGCTTTTAAGACCACAAGTTTCAAAAGTCTTCTTCTTTTTTCTTAAACTTCGTGCTGAGTCAAATTACCTCATATAATATGAAACGGAGGGAGTATAAGTCAACTATAGAAAATCAACTTTAGCCAATAAAAATTTATAAAATTAAGAAATGAATTGAAAAATTGTAAAAGAGTAAAAAAGTTATAAAATGGTAAATTTTGCATTGATTTTTCGAATTGAACAAATAAATATATCGGACAAGTAAATTTGGACGCAGAGAATATATAATTCACTGCATTGTTTGGGACCGGAAAGATCATCTACATCTTGTATTTAATTTATACTAAATTTAATCACATAATTTTATTGTGATTAAGTGCAAACTGAGGTAAATCTAAACACACTTGTAAAATGACTAGATATGTATTTTAAAAATATATATGTAATAAAATCCAATACATAAAAGTAGATTTACATCCTTATTTACGGGTTGGTAGAACCTAATATTTTTTTAAAAACTGATAGTCAAACAAACTTATCCAGAGAACTGCTTTTACTCAAATTATGTTATGGAAGAAACGAGCAAAATATCTATTTTAGACTTTTAGAGCAAATATGCTATCAATATTAGTAACTCATAAAATACTATTAAAATTAGCCAATACTTATAAAATGCTACCAAATTTAGCCCTAGATTCTATTCTTAATACAAAATTACCGATTAAGCTTCCTTCTCTCTGCTTCGTGCTCCCCCCTTGTCAAATTCGCTTGACAATATGATTTTCTATCTGAGAACATGATACCATGAAACCAGAAAAAGACACACTAAGTTGCAATGACTGCATTGCCAAATAATTGCAATTGGCGAAAATAATATTAAAAGAATAAACTGAAAGGGTGCAAATATTAGAGACTTTTTCTTTATTTGTACGTATGATTCACCATATTTTGCAGATATAAATATCTAAATACTACTAGTTTCCTAAATGGATTTAATTACTTTTCCATTTATACCCATCTTTATTATATGAGTCAAACCAAACTCATTTGTTAAAACTAATTGAAGTCGCTTAAACGTGAATTTGAAGTTTGGATTTTCGAAATTGAAATTTATGTCGAGCGGAATTTGCTGTAATACATTGAGTACATAGTAAAAAGTTTGAATCTCAACTACGGGATGATTTGGAGATCTGAGGTGGTTTGAATTGAAATTGAGCAAAATTTGAAGTACACCGGATGAACATGGAAGAAGTTGTTATGTGTATCTCACTGCGTATCTCTCGTATATCATATATGTACCAAATGTGTATCCCGTATGTATCCCATGTATATCTGTGTTTATATGTATGTAAGAAACATGTGACCGGAGACGGATCTAGGATTTCTAGTACATGAGTGCACTACTAAAAAAAGGAGAAGAAAATATATTAAGTGAGAGTTGATCCCTATTCCTCTTAGTAAATAACTTAACTTTCAACCAGGTACATCATTCAATCTTCTTGGTGCATGGGTGCCAACAGTTAATATTATATCAATTTTAAAAATATACATATAAAAATATCTAATTTTACGGAGAGACTATGAGTTCACGTGCTCCATAATCTCCCCTATAAATTCATCCTTGCATGAGAGATACATGTTGTATACATATTTCGCAAGAAATTTTTAAACTAGTTTCAATTACGAATGTCAACTCAAGACTAGTCCAGATCACCTCCATCATCCTCAGATTTTGTATATTGCTTCATTTATGTATTTTCAGCAAATTCTAATCATGCTAACTGGGAAAAAAATTGCGTATGTTTTTTGAATGTTGTATATCATGAATAATGAATTTTAATTTCAAAATAGTTCAAATCACCTCAACTTTCTCTCAATCTTGAATATTGCCTTATTTATGTTTTTTTAACGAATTTCAAATGTACCCATTGAGAAAACAATCATTTTTTGACTAGGTTTTTGAATGTTGTATATCATTGATAATTTTTATGACTATTTTTGATAATATGGTTTAATGACTAATTGTTGGTAGGTATTGTCTATTTGTGGCTATTCTTGTTGTTTCCTTATTAATTTTGATGTGATGGCTCTGGGTAAAAATAGCACGGTATAGCCAGTTTTCGGACTGGTCATTCAAAAATAACCAGCGTTTACTAAGTCAATGAAAAATAGCCACTATTTTGCTGCAGTAAAGACCGGTCCAGCATAATATACTGGAGTTCGGTGCACCTATGTTTGAACTCCAGCATATTATGCTGGACCGGTATACTTTGCTGGCTCTAGTATAATATACTGGAGATTGGAGCACCGGTGCTCCAAAATCCAGTATATTATGCTGGACCGGTATACTTGCTGGAACTCCAGTATATTATGCTGGAGTTCTAGTGTACTTATGCTGGAACTCCATCATATTATGCTGCAGTTCCAACATACTTATCTTGGAACTCTAATATAATATGTTGGAGTTCAAGTATACTTATGATGGAACTCCAGCATAATATACTGGCGTATTTTTCAGATTTTGAACGGTATTTTCGCTCAGATTTATCTTTACATGAAAAATGGCTAAATTTCGATTACTTTTGAAACTGGGCTATTTTTGAACGACCAGTTGTAAATCTGGCTATTTTTGAATTTCAGCATTAACCTGTCCATTTTTTGGGCCTTGTTCATGTGGTTAGGGAGTAAAAGGAAATGGGCTGCAGGTTCTTGGGCCTTTCCGGTTGGAAGGGGAAAAATTGCACAAATAGGATAATTCTAAGCTGCTGTTTAAGTTTTGTCCCCATTTAAAAAATTTGTGCAAAAATAATCTCAGATGCTGGAGTATTTAGACCAACTCTTTGCCATTTTTATTTTATTTTTCTGTTTTCCTGAAGGAACTCTTCCCCCCCNCATCTTTTCTTAAGTTTTAAGCGTAATCTAAGTAACATATGTATATCTTAAAGGGAGGGAGTAAAGTTTTAGAAAAACGGACAATAAGTTATAGTGGAAATGGCTGCTAGCTTCTACCTAGCTACTTGCTAGGCTGTGCTTTGATAGAAGAATTCACATGATATTTACCCAAAATGCAGACGTTCATGCACACTTTCACGAATAATTATAAAAATACATGTACAATTAACTCTTTCACGAGTTTATCCAATTATAAAATTCCATAAATTAGAAAACTCACAGATTTTAGTCGCAAAATTCTGGTAAGTCACATGCTATCTCGACTACCTTTTTCCATATTATGGTAATCAATAAGAAGTATCTCTTGCAACTTGCACCATAAAACCCTAGTGGTAAAATATATCATTAATGCATGGCAAGTGAACTCAGGATCATTTGTTGAAAAAGTGAAAATTAAAGATGGTTTTTTTTCGCTCCTTTTTTCTTACCTGTAAAGGTCACACCATAGCATGAGAAAGATAGTTTCTAAAATTAATTAGGAAGTAGCTATCCACTCATGGAACAAAAAAGTTTCAAAAATTAATTAAGAAGTAGCTATCCACTCATGTTTCACTTGTTCATCGCATAAGATTCATTCAACTTTTCGGAACCCTCATTATATTCTTCAAGTCAGTGAACCTATAAATAGCATTTGAGAGATGATTAATTGGTAACCAAAAGTACTTTCTATATATAGAAAACTGTAGCTGCAGCAGTTGGAAGAGCACACTTTCCTATCATGGTAATATGAAGTGATTTTGAGTTTCACACATAGACACACGCACACACACATAGACACACACATGTACACAAACATGGGTGGAGCCAGGGTTGCAAGGGGTATCTAAACCCCATTTGCAGAAAGATTACATTGTATATACAAGGTCAAAATTATTTTTTCTGTTTATATAGTTAGATGTTAAATTCTCTTGGCTTCTTCGTGTATTTATTTCTTTATATTATGAAGCTCCTTAGTGAAAACCCTAGCTCCACTGTGCACACAAAGAACCGACATGCTGATCTCTCTCTCTGGACGGAGAGTCTTCTGAAGTGATTTTGTGCTTCTTTAGTGTATATATATATAGATCAATTTAGTGTCTTTGTCATATGAGTTTGTAAGTGAAAAAAAGAGAAAAAGTATTTCAATGCGTGTGACCTACCTTGCATAAACTCTGCATGATGGATATACATGTTTCTGCTTGATATATAATGGGCAGTTTATACAGAGTTATATACTATATGTTTTGGCCAGAAAAAAGAAATTTATGCTGTTTAACAATATTCTTCGACGTGATTAAGTTTCTTGTATTGCATCATCTAAGTGCAAAATATGTTTTTTATCTTCTATGTACTCACTATAAAGATAAAAAAACATTTGATCTATCATGTAAATCATTCGTATTTACTCGAGGATACTTGCTGAAATATGTGTCCTCAAAGTTCAAACCCATCTGAAGTACTCATCAGTTCATTGAGTCCTTATACCGTGGCAGACCCAGAATTTTTATTAAGTCGTGAATGCTCAACAATCTTAGTTTAGAGTTACCACTTTCAGAGACTGGATGCTTAGTCAATATCTTTGTATATTATTATTACTAGTTTCCAATATCAAACTGTATAATGTTTGGTTAAAATGCAATGGGTGCTTGAGCAACCTGCAGTAACCTAAGTGTAGGTCCGCCACTGGTGTATATTGTGCCAACCAACAGAGAAATGACTGGTTGAGGTCGATTTTTGACTCCAGTAAAACATGCTGTCATTTTATATGAGTACGTGTCCCGATTACATCCTGGCACTATTAGATCACTTGAATTTTCTTCATGATATGTTATACGATATGTTAAAATAACTCACGTAAAAAAAAATTATACTGTAAGTGTATACAAGTTAAACTCTTTTGATTTGCAATTCATTCTTGTTTTCCTTTTTCTAAGAGAAAAACAATATGTTCGATTTGCAACGTTAACTGATGAATTGCAATCTTACCTTCTGATTTAGAGTGGACAAGTTCTAAGGAAGGCGGTATCAGATGTATCACTTGAAATAGGCAAAATTGAAAAAGATTTGGAGAGCATTTGCATTACAATTGATGAAGTTATGCAGGCAGAATGTGAATGCTGTGGTCTTCGAGAGGAATGCACTCAAGATTACATAGAAAGAATTAAGGATTCTTATTCAGGAAAATGGGTATGTGGCCTTTGTTCTGAGGCTGTAAAGGAAGGACAACGAAGGGGACCAGTAGACATTGACGAAGCTGTGAGTTCGCATAGAAACTTCTGCCAAGAATTCAATAGTTCAACTAGACTCAACCCAAAGCTCTCTTTGACAATGGCCATGAAAAACATTGCAAAAAGAAGCCATGAAAATAGGGAGAAGACGCAATATCCTACATCAAAGATTTCAAGAAGTTCTAGTTGTGCTCCGAGAATTGAATTTGACACTACAATGAAACAATAGAGGATTGCAAAGTTTATGCCTTAATTAGATATCCTACATCAAGTACTCATTATATGTAGTACTTGTTAATTAGAATATACTACTACTTGTTAAGATATGGAGTACTAAATTAAAGATGAATGGTTTTATTGGTGTTCGCTTGCAAGAACCCTCGGGCATGTTCTCCTAGCATAATTTGATTCTTCTATTTGAAACTTACTTCAATTCAAAAGTTTGATACATTACCTTTGAATTTATATTAGTCGTGATGAACACTTGAATGATCACCAGGAATGATTAATTTGGATAGAGTTCAAACGGGGTGACTCTTGATTTTTACTATTTTTCTTCTTATGATTAATGTCGTTGTCTTGCAGTGGCAGTGGCCGGAGGTTTGATATTAACCCCTACCTTGTATATTAAGAAGCAACAAGTTAATAGTAAACGAATGGGGACATAAAATCCAATCTCCTATATGTGAGTTGGACATGCCCAACTTGATACGATTTGATGCAAGTGCATGTCATTATGGAGTGTTTCATACAGTGATGAATCTATAGCATGATAGAGAGGACTCCTCTCTTTAACATATGTGTATAAGTATTAGACTAACAAAAGAATCATCGATCTGTCTTGACCTATACATTGTTTCATGTACTATAAATGAGCTTAGATGCTCAAAGCATCGTAAAAGAATACTTTGAAGTTCTAGTTCTCTTCTTTCCCCCGTGTAATTCTGTCTTGACCTATACATTGTTTCATGTACTATAAATGAGCTTAGATGCTCAAAGCATCGTAAAAGAATACTTTGAAGTTCTAGTTCTCTTCTTTCCCCCGTGTAATTTAATTTTGATATGTTCTTGATTTTTCCTTATGTAAAACCTTCTTTTGTAAATGTAGAAAGCATATATAGTAGTGGTATCATATAGAGATTTTCCTACTTAGAGAGGATTTGCTCGCTTGGGTCGTCGTACTAATTCAATTAGATCTCTTTTGGTCTACTGTGACAGGCCACATCTGAATATGGCCGTCATGACTTCATCAGTTGTAAACTTTGATTAACTTTTTTCTTTCTTTTACATGGTACACAACGTTATTTTACACCGGACATGAGCTTAACTTTAGGACAAAAGTAAAACATCCGAATGGACCTAACGGTTGAAACCAACTAGGTCCATTCAGATGAATGACCAAACGAAGTTAACTTAAAATTATATATATATGAATTTGTAGCTAAATCATTAATCCAAATTTATGGAGAGTGTCTGGACTAGCTAGCTCAAATCCTGAAGGAAACTTTTTTTTTATCTCTACTTATGTAAAATTTTTAATAAGATATCCAATTTGATACTTACATAGATTAATATACACAAACCAAAACCACAAGAGATTGCTTTTTTTCTTTTCAGGAAGGATATATATATCCTTCTCCAATTGAAAATAATCGAATTTTTCTTTTTTCTTTTTAAAAAAAGAAGAAGAAGAAAATAATCGAATTTTTACTTAGAAATACATCACAAGAAAATGATATACTAGGTTTTAATTTATGGTGAAATAAATCAAACTTAAAAAGATCTAGCTAGAATACATGGTTGGAAGACAATATTAGTTATACTGGTAACTGTAACTATTCAAATGAGCAAAGATGAATTATAAGTGGAAAATACTTACCTCTACATGATACATGCTAGAATGTGCTTATCCTAATTTAACTAATTGAAAACAACATTTAACGAAACCTATACTGAAATTATTATCTTAATAAATATTTATGATCCTTGCTAAAGAATGATTAGCTCAGAATAGAGGGAAAGTATCGAGGATATAATTACAACAGCAAAATTAAACCAATCTAGTTCCATACTTGGATAATAATAGTAGGTGTAGACGAAGACAATGCGTTTTTCAATTATATAGAAAAAACCTTGACGTTTACATATGTCACGGCTAGACATATAAAATTGATATAGGTTGGTCCTATTCCTACAATCTTTTTTGTTCATAGGGATCATGTTAATCAAAAGACTACTAATCGTCTCACATTATAAGTGCTCTACTGTTATGAAATAAAAGCAATTTAGTAAAACATGAACAAGAAATAAAAGCAATTTAGTAAAATATGAACAAGAAATAGAGATAGAGAGAAGGAATACATTTTCTTCTTCAATTGTGTGTATTTTCCTATCTATTACAAGGCCTTTATATAAGCATAAAAAGTGAAGAAAATATGTCATGGAATATGTCATTGAACATACAAAATATGTCATTGAATAGGTCATTAAGCATTTGAGATGAAGATCATGGAAGAAGAGTAGACATCCACCATAATGTGATATTTATCATAACACTCCCCCTTGGATGTCCATAGATAATGTGCTTCGTTAAAACCTCACTAGGAAAAAACCCTATGGGAAAAAATCCTAGTGAAGGAAAAAGAGTACACATGTTTAGAAATACACCTTCTGGTTGCCTCGTTAAAAACCTTGCAAGGAAAAACCCAGTGGGACAAAACCTTGTAAGGGAAAAAGAGTACAACGCGTATTAACTCCCCCTGATAAGAGCATCAATTCACATCCTTGATCATTCACATCCTATCTTGTAAACTAGTTTCTTGAAGGTTGACATCGGTAGAGATTTGGTGAACAAATCAGCCATATTATCACTTGAACGAATCTGTTGCACATTGATATCACCATTCTTTTGAAGATCATGTGTGAAAAATAATTTTGGTGAAATGTACTTTGTCTTATCTCCTTTTATGAATCACCCCTTCAGTTGGGCTATGCATGCTGCATTGTCTTCATACAAAATTATGAATAGTTTGTCACACTTCAAATCATATTTGTCTCGGATAAGATATATTATAGACCTCAACCAAATACATTCTCAACTTGCTTTATGAATAGCAATTATCTCTGCATGATTAGAAGAAGTAGTCACGATTGATTGCTTAGTCGATCGTCAAGATATGACAGTGCCTCCACATGTAAACACATAGCATGTTTGAGATCAAGTCTTGTGTGTGTCAGATAAATACTCTACATCGGCATAACCAACAAGATCGGGATTGCAATCATTGCCATAAAATAAGCCCACATTGGTAGTCCCTTTTAGATAACACAATTTGTGTTTGATCCACCAATGTCTCCTTGTAGGAGCAGAGCTATATCTTGCTTAGACATTAACTGAAAATGTTATGTCATGCCTTATAGTGTTAGAAATATACATTAGTGCATCAGTTGCACTAAGATATGGTACTTCAGGACCAACAAGTTCTTCATTATTTTCATGAGGTCGGAATGGATCTTTATTTATATCGAGTGATCTCACAACCATCGGGGTACTAAATGGATGTGCTTTATCCATATAAAATTGCTTTAGAATCTTTTCAGTGTATGCTGATTCATTGATAAAAATTTCATCTTTCACATACTCAATTTGTAGACCAAGATAAAATTTTGTCTTTCCAAGATCTTTCATTTCAAATTATTTCTTTAAACAGTCTACTGCTTTAGGAAGCTGCCTGGGAGTTGTAATGATATTTGAATCATCAACATACACAGAGATTATAACAAATTTACATCCAGACCTTTTTACAAAGATACAAGGACAAATTGAATCATTCTTGTACCTTTCTTTCAATAGGTACTCACACAGGCGATTATACTATATGCGCCCTGATTGTTTCAATCCGTATAAGATTTTTTGAAGCTTTATTTAATAAATTTCTTGGAAACATTAATATGCTTCAGAACAATTTTAATCCTTCAATGATTTCCATTATACGCATATCAAGTTTTCATGTATTGCCAGATTAAAACCTGAAATGATTATATACACCATAAGAGAACATGTCTCCATATAATAAATGTGAGGATATTTATTAATTTTCTTGTGTCACAAGTCGTCTTTATATCTATCGACTTGGACTTTTTTTGCACAAGAACACATTTATACCTCCATTAGCTTTATACTTTCAGGTGTTGGGACTATCTGCCCAACTTCACATTTTTCAAATGAAGTCAATTTTATTGCGTATTTTTCATTTGGCCAATCATTTATTTGTCCAAATTTCATGACAGATTTGAACTCAATATCCTCGTCAATATTAATAATATTGAGTGCTACATTATGTTAACAATATCGTCGATGATCATTTTATATCGGTTCAATTATTACACAATAAAGACATAACTTATTGAGATCTCTTTATGTCATTATTTTCAGGTACCTGAGCCTCTCACATGAGGTCTTACGAAGTGTTATGTCGTGGTGCTCTCCTAGAGCATTTGCTCCTTATTATGACCATCTTGAACATTTGCCCCTCTCCTTCTTCAAGGAGTTTTATCTTTGGAACCGATTGGTCTGTTACGCTTTATGCGTGCCATAGACTCTGTCCCTCATAGACTTTATTCTATTTGGAGCATTAGCAGCTGAAATATGACATTTAGCTTTGGGTCAGCAAATGCGTCTGGAAATAATTTATAAATTAATTATCACTTGAACTTCAAGTTCATATTTTCTTGTACGAGGATCTATATGTATACATAATAATTCATTTCACGTATCACTTTCTCAGCTATCCATTTTCTCCCTCTAATGTTGGGATCACCAACATATTTCCCAACCTTCTTGGGGAACCCATCTTTGTGTATTGTGGTGGCATAATTAAATCATATAGCACATTCATATTTCTATATAGAAATTATTTGGTTCCTGACCCTGAACCGATTGTGATAGGGAGAAATTTTCATAACTTGGCTAGATGCGTACAAGTGCTGGTGTATATTAAATAATACATCTCATACCAAATTTTATTTTTGGGAGTTTTATTCTCATAACCAATAATTTAGCTATAATTGGAGCCATACAATTTCCGCTAAACCAACTTGGATTTAAACCAGTATTATCAAGATAAATCATCATAATTTATATTCTGGAACTGTGTCAATCTTGCAAAAGCCAAACTGCAAGTTGATAACAAATGCACATGTGACCATAGAATAGATGCATCTATTAAAATCATATAATAGTAAACGGTCCACATGGCAGGTGACTGAGCCCATATATTTATATTTATTCGTTCCAGAAATTAAGGGATTCAATCCCAACCTTAACTGGTATATCATGAGAATAAGCTGCACAAGAGAATTCTTGAAGAATCTTCTATTC